GTTAGGAAAATATGGAACAATAAGATCTGTAATATAAGATGGAGCTAGGTTGTTGAGAGCTTTGTAGGTTAGAAGTAATATTTTGAATTCTATTCTGGATTTGACAGGGAGCCAATGGAGAGAAACTAAAACTGGAGAGAGATGATCTCTCCCAGTAACTCCAGTTAAGACTCTGGCAGCAGCATTTTGGATCAACTGAAGACGTTTTAAAGAAGTATTTGGACACCCAGATAATAAACCATTGCAATAGTCCAGTCTAGACGTGACAAATGCATGGACCAGTTTTTCTGCATCATCTTTAGATCAGATGTTTCTAATGTTAGTGATATTACGCAGGTGGAAGAAGGAGGTTCTAGTAACGTTTTTAATGTGGGGGATAAAAGACGTGTCCTGATCAAAAATAACACCAAGATTTTTAACATTAGAGCTGGAGGACAGATTAATGCATCTAAGGAGGGAGAAAGACTGAAACATTCATTCCTAAAGTGCTCAGGTCCAAAAACCAAAACCTCAGTCTTGTCTGTTCAACAGGAGAAAATTAAGGGTCATCCTGGTTTTTATGTCTTTAAGACACGCTTGTAGTCTAAGTAGCTGATTGGATTCATTGGGTTTAATGGACAAATATAATTGTGTGTCATCAGCATAACAATGAACATTGATCCCATGCTGTTTAATAACTTTACCTAGTGGAAGCATATATAAAGTAAAGGGTACTTTTCCAAGTACTGAGTCCTGAGGAACTCCATGACCAACTTTGTTGTATGAAGAAGATTTATTATTTACATTTACAAACTGGAATCTATCAGATAGATATGATTTAAACCACTTTAGAGCCGTTCCTGTAATCCCAACATCATATTCAAGCCTCTGTAGTAAAATATTGTGATCAAGTGTATCAAATGCAGCACTGAGGTCTAACAGGACCAGTAGAGACACAAGTCCATTGTCTGAGGCCATGAGAATATCATTAGTGACTTTTACTAGTGCTGTTTCTGTGCTACGATAAGCTCTAAACCCTGACTGAAACTCTTCAAACAGATTATTTTTTTGTAGATGTTCACGCAACTGACCTGCAACTATTTTCTCTAGAATTTTTGAGATGAAAGTTAGATTAGATATAGGTCTATAGTTGGCCAGAATTACTGAATCAAGATCAGACTTCTTAAGTAAAGGTTTAATTACAGCAACCTTAAAGCTCTGTGGTACATAACCATCCATTAAAGACAAATTAAGTAGATCCAAAATGTGGACATTAATTAGGGGAAATACCTCTTTAAACAGTCTGGTTGGGATGGGATCTAGCAGGCATGTGGATGGGATCTAGCAGGCATGTGGATGGTTTGGATGAGGTTATTATTTTTGACAATTCAGAGCTCAACAGGACAAAAACTGTCCAAACATAAATCAGGCTCTAGTGAAATTTTTAAAGTTGCCTCATTTGACAGGGGACTAGAGATAGTAGAAGGAAGGATGGTTTGAATTTTCTCTCTAATTGAAATAATTTTATTTATAAAGAATCTCATGAAGTCATCACTACTTATAGTTGTAGGGATACATGGTTCAACAGAAATGGGACTTTTAATTAGTCTAGCAATAATACTAAACAGAAACCTGGGGTTATTTTTATTCTCCTCTATTAAAGATGAGTAATATAAAGTTCTAGCTTTACAGAGAGCTTTTTTATATGTTAGCAGACTATCTTTCCAAGTTAAATAAAATTCTTCAACATTAGTAGAGCGCCAGCAGCACAGTGGCGCAACTGGTAGAGCTGCTGCCTCTCAGCGAGCAGGTCCCTGGTTCAAACCCCGGTCCAGGGGCCTTTCTGGGTGGAGTTTGCATGTTCTCTCCGTGCATGCGTGGGTTTTCTCCGGGTACTCCGGTTTCCTCCCACAGTCCAAAAACATGCATGTTAGGCTGATTGGTAACTCTAAATTGTCCCTAGGTGTGAGTGAGAGAGTGAATGGTTGTTTGTCTCGTTTGTCTCTATGTGGCCCTGTGATGGACTTGCGACCTGTCCAGGGTGTACCCCGCCCCTCGCACAGTGATTGCTGGACATGGGCACCAGCGACCCGCGTGACCTAAAATGGAATAAGCGGGTAAAGATAATGGATGGATGGATGGATAGTAGAGCACCATTTTCTCTCCTGGTTTCTAGATGCCTGCTTTAAAGTACATAACTCAGAATTGAACCAAGGAGCCAGTTTCCTCTGATTGATTACTTTCTTTTTCAGTGGAGCAATTTTATCAAGTGAAGTTTGCATTGAAGTTGTAAGATGATCAACTAGATGATCTAAGGGTGCATTCACATCAGCCCTGTTTAGTCCGCTTTAATCGAACTCTAGCTCGTTTTACTAGAAAGTCCGGTTTGTTTAGGGAGGTGTGAACGCGACATCGAACTCTGTCACGGAACAAAAAGGCGAACTCTGGCCTGGGCTAAAACCTAGGTCTCGGTCCGGTAGAAGCGAACTCCAGCGCGGTTTGAGTACAGTGTGAATGTAAACAGACTGAGCCCCGCACCGCAGGGTAAACAAACACGTATTTCTCTGACCTCATATGGAGCCGTCAGCTGCCTTGTGTGAAAAAACAATATTCTCCGTGGTCTTCTGTCTCATCTTCTGCTCATGCTGAGTCCATTTTTGAAAAATGACAAAATATAACTCCTAAAACTG